TCAGGAACTGTTAGCTACTAACCTGTCCGAAGTACCGTAACTCCCTATAACCATCCCATTCTTTTTTCCTCTCAGAGGCGACCTGGCGTTCCCAACTGTCAACACCCTCGGACTGCAAGACCGGAAAGATGATCCTGAAGCAGTTGAGCGGCTAGCAAAGAGAGTGCAAGATGAGGCAGCCAAGCGTCCCGCCTACAGTCGCCGGCGAGCTTTCGATGCGGACGCTGATATTGACTACATTAATGAACGTAACAAGCGCTACAACGAACTGCTCGAGCGGCATTATGGCAAATACACAGCTGAAATTAAACAGAATTTGGAGCGGGGGACGGCAGTTTGAAGGCCTTCTCATTGGTTGGACCTATATAATTGCAATTTGGCTCTGTTTCGCGGCCTCTGATGCCCGTTTTTGTACATAGCGACGTGAATAATTACCATTACTTTGACACTGCGACTACCCACACCTGTTCTTTGCTGCTGTGACAAGGCCCTCACCGATTGTAACAGCACCTCATAATCACACCATCAGTCTAATGCTTCCGTTTTTTCGTTAGCCAACCGGAGACCTAAAGTTAAGGGTGGTAAAACGGAGTTTTTGTACGACGGATCGAGTTGTCCGTTTGAACTTGTTGAATAGGGGTATGAGACCGTGACTAGTTTGGTGAACTCCACTAGCGATTTTCGGGACAGAACATGCAGCAGGTCATCTCAGAATTATTCAACATCCAAATAAGTACTAACAGTATTACTAACAAGTACTAATACAGGGTTGCACAAGTTAATATTTGGTATCCGGTATTTTCTGCGTAAACCATCTCGATAATGTTTGTCAATGTGTCATTGTCGGCCACTACACTCTTTTTGACATGCTGACAACAGCGAATGCATCGAGAAGACCTGTAGGAAGAAAGGCCTCGCGTACGAGACAACATTGAACGGCCCAATTATTCCTGCTAATATCGTGACCGTCATGCTTTCTTTTGTTTTTCTAAAAGCTGTTCATAAAAAACACCACAGAACGCCTCCATTGCCACTTCTGAACGGCAGTCTGACCCTCCGCCCTCTTCATTTCAAAACATTCGTTCCAGGCCATTAGTCTTTTCATACACTATATATATAGTCACCATAAATTGTTGTGAGGTCTACCTGAATCGCTCCACGGATCGCCGTACCTTACAGCTACGCAGAGAGATGGAAAGTGCATGGTCCTAGTTCCGGCGTTCGACGGTGATTCCTTAAGACTGTTCTTACCGAAATCCAGCAGTGCGATTTTTCGACAGCATCAGCTGCTGGTAAGCAGGCGCCAAGCACAACTGTATCCAGCAGTGCGATTTTTCGACAGCATCATCTGCTGGTAAGCAGACGCCAGTCGGATTGCGGGCATGACAGAATAGACCGTGGATACACTGCTTTGGGTTAGACGGTCAGATTGGACTGCTAATTTCCTCTTGTTTCTGCTCGAGAGTAGTGAATACATTCAGTCGGTCCTTTCACCGCCATAGGCACAACCATACACTGATGTGCCAGGTTTAGTCCAGGATCAACATCTCAGTACCCCATCTAATCAGGAGACTGTTGTGCTGCTTTCATGGTTGGAGTTTGTGTGCTACAAAAACGCTTTGAAAATGAGAACTTAGAAGAGGAATAAGACTTGGAAAAAAAGCGGGTATTGACATAATTGAATGACCAGTCAGGACCACATAGTGCACAAAAGTGGGTGAGTAGCACACACCAGCTCCCCTGTTTTACCAGCAATCGACTTGACCTTACTAATTCACTAATTAACCAGAGAGTGACATTTTATTGTTCTCCATCATCAACACTGTTCAGAGGTAACTGAAAAATTCTTCAGTGAGAACTAGAATGATATAATTTTCCATTTGACCCATAAAATTCATTTTTTTAAAAGCAAGGTTAAAAGATATAACAACCGGAGGAATTTTTTGTGAAAATGTCTCATAGTATTTCCCTTTGGCAGTTCCCCTTGGTTATCGTCAGATCTCCATGGCTGTGAGGAGGCGTCGGAGTAATACAGGTACCGGGACATTCGGACCAAGTGTATCACAATTATGCAAAAAACGATTGAGTCTGTATGCATCCCGGAAGCTTGGTCGGACCAACTGGAAAGTAAACAGCGGAGATAAAGAAGCACATGGGTTCAAGTGAGAAGCACTCAGATACTACTACACTGACCTACCTACCACCCGACGCGCCGCTACTTCGCTACACGCAAATGTCGGTTGATTTGGTGATGAAACGCTTGCAACCAAACTTGCATCTCTAGCGAACACACAATCTGTCATCTATACAACATGAGCTACCTACATCCCTTCTGTACGATAATGCTCCTAGACCTCTCAGCTTCGGAATGTTATCAGATTTAAAAAACAGTACAGGGAAGGCTAACGCAAATGTAAACGTAATATCACCATTTAACCTGATCCTGGCAATAAGGAACGAGGCAGATGCCTTGGGTGTGAACGTCAATACGAGCACATCAGTGCCCTCGCTGACTCCATTATGTGGTTTCTCGTTATTGACAACGTTGGTTTTAGCACTTATGAACTAGCGATGATTGGAAGGCGTGGAGCAGAGTCATACATGATCGAGATTGGATGAAGGCAGTAAGTGATGGTTACTGGTTTCAACAAGCAGATATGAACGAACTCACCTTGAGTTTGAGCATTGGAAAGGGAGACAGAGGACGACTCGGTGCGGTCATGATTAGCTCCGCTGAAATTGCAACAAGAAACGCTAATAGTATTGAGAAAAAAGCTTCGCTAATCTTCGACCACATGACGATGTATTTGTAGCCGCGTAAGCCTGCTCACTAACAAGGGATCGACGTTGCTAGAACTGACTAGTATGTTTACCAGCATGAGCCTTACGGAACGATACCATACCTCGTAACCTAAAGGGATTTCGAAAGGCTAGGTAATGTCACACGAGATATTTTGTGTGCTTTAGCAACAGACTGGACTGAAGTTCCATTTTCACATCTTTACTATTGATAGTAGAGCCAACCCCTGATTCAGGGACTACCCTATGCAGTGACCGCTTTCAGTCGAGCCCGTCAACTATGGATGGAACAACGCGGGACCTCACACCTCTCGCACCATCTGTACATCGAGGGGCCAGCTGACTTGCAGACTTGATCTATGCTCTTTCACATCTTTACTATTGATAGTAGAGCCACCCCCTGATTCGGGGACTACCCTATGCAGTGACCGCTTTTAGTCAAGCCCGTCAACTATGGATGGAACAACGCGAGGCTTCACACCTCTCGCACCGTCTGTACCTCGAGGGACCAGCTGACTTGCAGACTTGATCTATACCCCAGATTGCAAGGAGTACACTAGCAGGATATTCAAGGTTGCAACGGTCCACGACCATCAAATCTGACTTGGTGGCTGTCCTGAATAGAAGCGTTCGTCTGAATGTCAATCACATAACCATTCAAAGGATAGTGATATGAGTTACAAACGTCTTGAGATGTACGGGACAGAGATTATCGTCAAAACCTCCTTCCCTAGGAGACGACACCATGGATCGGTCCTTTAGTTTTGTCGCACTCGTTTTTCTCCAAAAGATATATCCAAGGCAGAATACCAGCAAGATTGCACCTGAGACTGACAAGCCACATGATTAAGCTGGTTACTGGTTTCAACAAGCAGATATGAACGAACTCACCTTGAGTTTGAGCATTGGAAAGGGAGACAGAGGACGACTCGGTGCGGTCATGATTAGCTCCGCTGAAATTGCAACAAGAAACGCTAATAGTATTGAGAAAAAAGCTTCGCTAATCTTCGACCACATGACGATGTATTTGTAGCCGCGTAAGCCTGCTCACTAACAAGGGATCGACGTTGCTAGAACTGACTAGTATGTTTACCAGCATGAGCCTTACGGAACGATACCATACCTCGTAACCTAAAGGGATTTCGAAAGGCTAGGTAATGTCACACGAGATATTTTGTGTGCTTTAGCAACAGACTGGACTGAAGTTCCATTTTCACATCTTTACTATTGATAGTAGAGCCAACCCCTGATTCAGGGACTACCCTATGCAGTGACCGCTTTCAGTCGAGCCCGTCAACTATGGATGGAACAACGCGGGACCTCACACCTCTCGCACCATCTGTACATCGAGGGGCCAGCTGACTTGCAGACTTGATCTATGCTCTCCTCCGTTGAGATTGCAAGGAGTACACTAGCAGGATATTCAAGGTTGCAACGGTCCACGACCATCAAATCTGACTTGGTGGCTGTCCTGAATAGAAGCGTTCGTCTGAATGTCAATCACATAATCATTCAAAGGATAGTGAAATGAGTTACAAACGTCTTGAGGCGTACGGGACAGAGATTATCGTCAAAATCTCCTTCCCTAGGAGACGACACCGTGGATCGGTCCTTTAGTTTTGTCGCACTTGTTTTTCTCCAAAAGATATACCCAAGGCAGAATATCAGCAAGACTGCACCTAAGACTGACAAGCCACATGATTGAGTCACATGGTCACTGCATCGTGCACCAGAATTGCCTTGAAAATGGTACGATGACATTTCACACGGAAGACCTAAGAGTTTCTATCTCAGTTATTATGGCTAAAAGTCAAGAATGCGGCCGACTAATCAAACTAACGAACTATAGACCGTCAACTCGAGTAGCTTAATTATTACAGTGAATACAACCTATGGTTAGTTTGATCAGATACCCAAAGAGTTGTCAAGTCAGTTGGACGCACGTCAGAGGGGTTCGATTAGTAATGCCTACAAAATTAAGTTAGGACCGAAAACGCCGATTGCATGAGAAAGGAATTTAGACAAAGTATCATCAGAGGGATGTTGCATTGGTTTCACTACGGTTGTCTAAGCGTCTAAAGTAACCTTAAGTGGAGACTGTGGTTACACCTGTGTAACGTTGGACTTAATGATTTGGTCACTGTGCAGTCGCGACTACCGTAGGTTTTTTGAGAGTGGCACTCAAACCGGTAGAAAGGAATCTCTACTATCAAAGAAGTAAGGGCTATTTTTTCAGGTCTTCATAAGGGTGATAGCGGGAAAAGACTGGAGGCACAACTCCTGTCTCCATGAGGAGCTGACAGTGATATGTGATTCCCGGTTGAAACAGTTCAACAGCATTCAACGTTTTACAAGATGGTCAACTTCAAAATGTGTGTGATGGAAAGCTCGCTTTCCATTTAGAGCGTTTAGAACAATTCCTAACAGGCTAAGAAACAACAAAACGGGAAGTATCATTTTCCCGCGCAGTTCGGTGTCCCCCCAACACCTTCCCACCACACAAACGACGCGAGGACTGTGTAAATAAATTGAATTACCAAGAGATCATGTCGAGGTTTCCCTAACCGCCTGATGGTACCTCCTCATAAATCATGATGAATGAATTCCACCCGATGGACGACGCTGGTCTCCATGGTGGCGTTCGAATTCAGGTTTAGGGAATACCATCAACTCAACCACAGTCACACGGTGACCGACTTTCACTGTGAATCCGTAGAAGCTCTTTCACGGGACTAAAAATAATTGATCCACTAGACAGAAATATGATTATTCTTTGTGGAATGTAGGTGAGATGGGGGTCGGATGGCAGCGCAGTTGCCTAGTAAGCGAGATTGCAGTTTTGAGTATGCACGTGAGTTCCTAACGGAGGACAGAAAATATGCCAATTGGGTCGGGAGACGGACAGTTTATCCTTGCAACTAACATGCCTAACCCCAAGTCCCTATCACGCCGGTTTATTACCGTAAGAATCGTTGGATAGATGGAACAGAAAGAGTCCATCAAATAAATCCAAAAGAAAGGCAACCTGAGGGTACCAGGCCATGAAAACCAATACTGACTTCGACTTCGTTGAGTGTGAAATATCCAGGCCAACAGTGAGGAAACCGGCACATCCATAAGGAACACAATGATTCGTTTCAGTAGCTGTTGAACGACGACGATCAGCAAACGGATCTAAGGTAAAAGATGAAAGAGAAACCGGGGCGAGAAATGTGTCTGCGTGAAAAACGAACACGACATTCTGCTGGTGGAAAAGGATGGGATAATTAAGCCCTAAATATTTATAAGCTGCAACTCGAATCGACAAAATGACGTTATGCAGAAGTCACTGTACGGGTAGCATATAAAAACTTAAGGCAGGGACAAATTTCAAGCCACGGATGCTTTGTTTCAGCAACGCATCGACAAAATGACGTTATGCAGAAGTCACTATACGGGTAGCATATAAAAAACTTAAGGCAGAGACAAATTTCAAGCCACGGATGCATTGTTTCAGCAGCGCGGGGCTGCGCCTGTACTGGGCAAGAAGTAAGGTGTTTTCCGGTTAATACCCAGCAAACGATAGTCCACGAAAAAAAACTTTCAATGCTGCCTTGACTGACACGGAAACCAAATTTAACCAACTATCAACTTGAGCTGCCCTGTACATCTACGGTGTGTAGACATCATTGATAGCTAGTGAAGCTCCACACTAGAACGAGCTGCTTATACGACACCTCAATAGGATGGAGAGGAGAAGACGTGACTTGAACAAAACCGCTAATTTGAACCACGAACATCTACTTCAGATAATAGGCAGTCCAGCCTGAGCTAACAGCGACGATGAGGTGGAAAGCCTTCTCTTGTATCCAACCACACATTGATTAATAAACAAATGTATTTGCAGTACAACCAAGAAGCAAGTGAAAATGCATGTTGTAGAAACGGGGGCAAATATGAGTGAGCATAATTCGAATTAAGGGTCTGCTCAGTGGTTGGCTACCTAGATAAACGCTGCCTAGATAAATCTAATTCGAGCGCCTCGCAACGCTGACTGATATCATGACTGGATTCCTTAGAAGCAGATTATGTGAGGTGATGCCACGCTAAAGCAGTGAACGCTCTAAAACTTATGACTATCAGACAATTACAATCCGAGAATGCGAGACTGCTGTGCCTGTCGAGATAGCTGAAGTCCAGGAATCGCCTTAGAATACTAATAATCGTTCAGCTGCCTAGCTGCCATGCCACCCGAAGGAAGCACGCTGGCTGGGATATTGCTAGGTTGCCCAAACCAAGACAGAGGAATCCGAGACGCAGACGTCGTGTCCGAACCACGAACCTTCCGGTCAGTAAATTCGCCCTCCAGCCACTGAGCCATCTCGCCTCTTCTTAGAATAACCCGGCAGCCAATGTGGTTCCCTATCAAGGACTACATGTCGAACTTTCTTGCCAGTCACACGTCACTGAAACAGACGTGATGATCCGCAAGTATTTGTGATCAAAACAGTCGATTATCATTATGTTCCCCTCCGAGGGTCCAAGTTTTCCATCTGCAAGGAACAGTAGTTCCCAACTGGGACGATACCGTGCAGCCCTAGGGTCGTTAATGGAGCGGTATCGTCCAACATGGTGCAGGTTTTCGGTAAAACTTACGCAATCATATTGTTCCTAAGGATACATCCTCTCATTCTCGTACAGAAAATAAGGTGGGATGATGATGATACTGTCGTTTTGGTTCTACACATCAAGCTATGACCTACACACTTTTTGTCCGTAATTGCAGATTCACTACATTTAAACAAAGGAGCCTTTAGCGTAAAATCTTTGCAACAGGAGTGACAGGCGATCACAGACACGTCCCTTCAGACGTAAACCTACAATTATTGAACCAATAAACAAATATCTTATCAGACCTAAATACTATTTGGTTTCTGGAAATGCAGTTAGTCATTTTATCCTTGAGATAGGTAGCGCTCAGACTGTACTTCAGATAACCCCGAGAGACTATGATGGGAGTGAAGTGAAGGTGACCTCTCTTGAGGCTGTCGTGCGCTAACACAACTGTGGACCCTCCAGGGGACTGACCTTTCTTCGAATATGTATCTCTTGGAAACTCACTACGCAGGAAATACGGGACGAGCGGTCAGGCGCCTTGATTGAGTGCGGTCAGGCGACCTTGATTGAAGTAGACACTACAAACAGAAGTGGAAAACCTAGCGAAATGCTTGTATGAATTGTTCAGTATGATATAGCGGCCCATAAACGGTGGTTACTCACAAGAGAAACTTACCAGTGCAAATGTGAGATAGAAGGCTATCGTGGTTGGAAGTAGACAGAGGCCAACAGCCAAACCCAGCAAAGTTGCCACAAAAAGTCGATCAAGGTGCGTATCATCTGGATTGTCAACCATCCGTTTCGAACACGATGGAACCCCGGTTGTCATGCATGATGCCGACTGCTTATCCGAAGTCACCAATTTGGGTCCTACTGAATTGTACATATCTGGCACGGTATCCACACGATCACGAAGCGGATTCCATTTGGACGCGTTACGACACAGACGCCATGCTGCCCCAATCACTCGAGTTTGCAATACCAAAAGCCTGAAACAGACCAGTTCGGTAGTGAGCCATAAAATCCGGAGAACGATGGTGTATGGATGAAACAAATGAAAATCCTCATGGTTCACAGTCACACATTACAAAATATCAAATTCTAGTGGGAAAGTTTTGCTACAACAATGCAGAGATAATTTGAACTGTGGGAAGAACGGAAAAACACTGCGCCTATGAAACCGTACGCTGAAGCACCAACCAAGAGCGGCGAAAGAGCGACTGACTGCTAGGCTTAAGGTAATTGACAGGATCCTAGTTTGGCTTTGCACGAATGGTCCAGACCGAAACACATTGCGTGAAACTTAGTTCAATTGGTACACAGGTGCTCGACACCGGAGATGCCCTGATCAGTAGCACATCAGAGAAAAAAACTGGGAAATTAGATCTATCCCCAGATGTTTTCTAACGCCCGAACGGTAGGATAGACCACAAAGCATCAGATACAATAGGGCATCTATTATGCGCACAGTTACTATGTGGCTTGTACGGAGCACGCGAAGTGAAACACTGCCAGGACGGCGACGACTGGACAAAAGCAGATGAGACCAAATATTTCCAACAGGAGTTCATATCTTAACCATTGCACCAAATGAAGGTATGCTTTCATACTGCCCTGTGAATGGCAAGCGACTGTGTAAACTGGTGTCCGCTCTGGCAAAGGTCACGTTTAGTTTCGGACACCACCTAAAGCGTATCGCAACGAAACTTCAGACATTCAATACCTCCTGACTCTGCTCCCCACTGCTAACGATGATGTATGCAGAGATGACAGCAAACGAGATGCGAAAATGAAGGACAAGCACATACAGGAACGGAAAATAAGGTAACGATTTAAAGTTGTTGGGACAGTGCACGCGACGAGGGGAGAAAATTCTACCAATTGTGAACAGTTAACTAGTTTTCACTTGAACATCGTTGAAAGCTGATAGTACAAAACCTTTGGCATTAGGCGTGAAGAGATTCTTGCCAGTCCTGAAAATGAAATCCACTATACAGACCAAGCGACAAAAATCGATGTAAGCCATATATGTCATGCTCGCGAATGTAACCGTAGGTTGCACAGCGGTGAGACCGATCGATAACT